GAATGAGTCAAAGCAAGACTTTGGGCATGTTTTTATGAGAGTACAACATTATAACATGATATAAAATGCAAAAAAGTTGATTTTACATGATATTATCCCTTTAAAGTCTAACATTTTTCTAATTAAAAGTCAAGCTACATAAGAAAAATCAGTTTGATTGATTTTACAATGATAATCTAGATTAAGAACAAAAAAAATGGAGGAACATTTGACTGCCCATATTGCAGCTACCAGTATATCCAGACTGTACTGGCAGTTTGCCTCTACTTTGAAGGGCTGTGGAAACTGAGGTGGATTTGTTCAGCATATGAGCCACAAGAAGGCCCAGAGCCATTGTGCCATATGGTGRACTATTCTATGTGGGTTAGGGAGGGGTTGCTAATAGGTAAGCTTTTAGATGTCTGGTCAAGAAGCTGTGGATTAAATTACGTTTAATTCTRTGTATCGACATCAGTGTTAAAGAATATGACAACACAAACTACGACTTTGAATTAAAATGTGTGGRAAATTCTTCAAATATATTGAACAACATTTTTGCGAAGTTGGGGTTGGAGATTTTTTTTAACAAGTGTTTATGATCATCTGAGTACTTCACCTAACTACTAATTGGTTAAAGTTTTTATTGTTTAAACATAATTTGAGCTTTGTGCTCTTGTGCAGTCAACAGTCAAGTAATTWAACGGTTACTAACCCAAACTGGTTGTGGACTGCAGGTTGGTGCCAGTTTGCTCCAACATGCTCTATCCTCGCCCAAAGAGAGTGTCATGTCAGATGAAACAACAATCACAACTTCTGCATTGAAAAGGGGGCCAAGAATGAACCCAATGAAGGCAAGAGTGGGGCGAGACAGTTATCGCCTGACATACTAAGCATTACCATAATTGGCTTTTCTACATGATAAGACAGAGGAAATAATAATGTCATTTTATTTACAGCCTTCTCTCTGTTGAAACACGCACACACTCATGCTCACCGTACAGGTCAATGACACACACTGATCAGGCCTGTCCGAACCCATCAGAGGTGAGTGGCAGGGAATGGAGGGACCGGTGACAAAGCGAAACGGGGGAGAGAAATAAGACTGCCACGCCAGAGCTCCCTCTTTGAAGGGCCGCTAAACGTTGTTAGGGGGAGCCTCACTAGACGCCCCGTTGCAGATGCRGCGTTCGGCGCGAAGGGTAAATCAGCAGGGTGAAAGCTGCTGGAATTGGACATTAGCACTGCAAATGAGAGCGGGGATTGCCCTCTTCTCTGAGACAACATGAATAAATGAAAAAGGCTTAAAGGAGAAAGTGTGTTGTGTATAGAAGGCAAAGGGAAGGGAAGAAGTTGGGCTTATTGTGTAACGTTATCCCAGTTTGGCAGTTAAAGTTGTGCTTAAAGTACTTAAAATTTGGTTATTATTGAGATGCAACTAATAATGCAACTAGAAAAAAATGTTTTAGTTGTGCAAATCTTGTTTGTAACAGATTTGGATGGTTGCAATTCAATATTTTCAATCTAAAGAATCTAAAAAATTTTTATGTGTTTGTGCTGGAATATCCTTCAAATGCAAAAAGTCAAAGAAAGCACCTTTATGTTTAGGAAACTCAGCATAACACATTCGATTCTACCCATTTTGTTGCATAACTGGCATATTTTCATTTGAGCTCAGCTCAGCCAAAGTGAAACAGGAAGTGACATTAAAGGGGCACTCCCTGGTCTTTGTTTATTGAAACAACATTATTTGAACTCTAACTTTTATCTCTCTCTAAAAGTGACTCAAAGTAATTTAAAAAAATCAGATTCTCAACTATTTGGGTTGTTAGCCATTTTAGCAATGTTCTGTTCACAGACATTCCCCTTTCACATCACTTCCTGTCATTTCWCGTTATTATCTACATAACAGTTTTTTTATTATTATTGCAATATGTTATAAATGTTATCTTTCCAAAAATACCCTAACATTTATTTCAAAAATTTGATGTCACAGACACTTTAACTTWATATTTGTTCATGTGTATAAAAAGTATGAGTGGGACCGCACATTACCTTATTCGTTTGGGTAGGGATGCAGTTTGAGAGAAAAGGAGTGCATGTTCTCATTTGCGTGCATGTGTGTATGCGGCAGAGGGATGTCCTACTGTGGTGTCACCTGTCTGCAGCAGGAAATCCAGGACTCTGGGCACAACAATAGTGACAGGCTCCTCTCCAGACACAGATGGCTTCGCTTTCCCCCCCTCCACCAGTCACATTGCATCTCTGCTTGCACCTGACACACAGTGACACTTAAAACGCCCGCAAACGCATGTTTACAGAACAAATGAGCCACACCTTGGATATAGGCTAAGAAACGTGAGCTCAATCAGCAGATATTTTTTTTGTTTCATATTTATTTGTTTTATTTTATATAAGTGGCTCAGTTTGTTTCCAAGGACTTCATTTCTGTTGGATCTGCACACACACATACAAACCTCTTGTTCACAGAACTAAACATCTTTTTCCCTCTCTTTTCAGAACTTCCTCTCTTTTGCCTATCCTCCCTGACAGCACAAAGTGGGCTTACGATTTTGACTGACAACCACAACAGACACTTTGGCCCCCCTCCCTTTCTCCCCTCAAGCCTCCTGTTTTAATCCCCTCACCGTACCTCTCTCCCTCCTTCTCCGCTTCCTCTTTTGTTCTGAGTGAGGCTCGAAAGCCGCCGTGTCAGCATCTTTTCCATCTCTGATTGCCTTATTAGCCGGCGGTGGCACCCGCAGCTTTTCTGACACAGATGGTGAAGGAGGAGGCTTGAGCAGGGGTGAAAAAAAATGGCTGACTTGTGTTTGTTGTTAGTTTCCCCCTCCCACCACTTCTCGGGCTTGTTTGTGTGGACACTGACACCTTGGGCTGACACTTACACACTCCTGACACTGATGCCTGTCAAAGCTACATACGGAGGTTGGCAGGAAAAGAGTAGACTTTAGTGTTGGTGTGCTGTTCATGTGTGTGTGTGTGTGTGTGTAACGCTGTCAGGTTTCTCTCACCATGTCAGTGAAGCTGTTTTGTCTTCCTACTTTGACTTTGAATTTGCTCAGTTTTGAATTTGTTTCAGTGGATCATGCTGCCTCATGGTGAGGACAATGCTGAAAGCTGTATAGTGACTGAGTTTGTGACAAAATATCTGGACATTTAAGCATATTTATGTGTTCAAGTTTTTATGTTATCCAAGATTGATTAGCTGTGACGGCCATCTTGAATGGGTTTAAATTTATTCAAAACAGTCACCTGGTTCAAGAGGTTTTTTTTTGCCAACAGACAGGGTTGACTCCATAGGTAATGCCAAATTTGAAAGAAATACTGAACATAATCTAAAGCACTCAGAGTATGTGTCTAAGATGACTCATAGRTACTACCACACCAAATTTCAACTTAATCTCTACACAGTTTCCTGAGTAATATAAATGTTTTGTGTTTGCTGAGGTCAATAATCTGTGGCAACCATCTTGAATTGGTTGACCCAAAAAGTAAATCAGTTGTAGATGCRCACACACAGTGATTGCTTTCTAAATATTTCCTGAAAATTAATTAACTTGCTTATGAGTTATTTTGCTAACAGACAGAAACAATACCTCCATGCATGGGTAATTRTGTGAATTGTGTGTAACCTCCTTGAAGACAGATGCATTTTTTTCAAACAAATACTGTACAGACAGGTGTAGGAAGTTTAGCTTTTCTCAAAGTTAGACGCACCTCAGAAACATCAGGCACTATGTCCATTCTGATTACGATATAGAGAGCTATATGCTCTTTGAAGTTGACAGCACATCTGCCTCCTCACTGGAGACTGATTCTGGCATCTCAGACAACAGACTTATGAAGGTTGTGTTATTGAAGCTGCCGTTGCAATTTTAACCCTTTATCCTCTTCTCTTCCTGCTTCTGTGTGATGGTTTCTTAATGATCTGCATCCAAGGTCATACATTATTTAAAGCTTTTCTTATTTAGTTCATTTGCATTTTTAATCTGAGACAACTCAAACTCATTCTTTACACAAATATGTTTGTAAAATTGTGGGCACACTAGTATGTTAAAAACTGACCAATAGTGCAACAAATTTCCTCTCTTCTTTTAAAATGACAAGTACACAGGGAGCACATGCAGTAACAACATGCCTTCTCATGTCCACTGGCTGTTTCCTAACATCACACTGTGAGGACTTCCACAGTCGATGCCAAGTCAGCTCCAGCCAACCGTGGCTTGGCAAGGCTGATGCTGCTGACATTTTGCACCATGTCTCCTAGTCTTAATCCATAGTATATAGGAATTGGGAAAACTGAAAAAATGAAAGTCAGAAACAGACCTATGTATACATCAAAAATGTTCAAATCCAAAACACTGATTTGTTTTGTCCCGTCAGTTTCTAGAAAAAAAATTTTTTGTTTCATACTAAAACAAATATTAAAATGCTTGCATATTGTTCACAGTAAATACATTTTACAACAATGACAAATTTGGTCTTTAAAAGATTTCAAAGAAAAACCTGCTCCTTCCTGTTGTGAGAATACGATAACAGTTTGTGTGTGTGTGTGTGTGTGTGTGTGTGTGTGTGTGTGTGTGTGTGTGTGTGTGTGTGTGTGTGTG